GGTGGTTGGAGGTGGAGTACTCTATTTAAGACACTTCAGAGTGAAAAATTCATACACTATATACCCCATTGCCTCACTTTTTTTCCATTGTCACTGTAGTATGTGTTGGGATTTCCAGCGCATTGACAGTTTTATCGTTTTATCTAGCTCGCGCTCCAGAAGAGAAAACGGAAGCAAGCAAACAAATAATTCTTTGTTGTTTCGAAACAAATACTCGGGATTATATCAGATTATAATAAGATAGTACTTAACATGACACCTAAATAAACGGCTGTAAAGGACACTCTCAGTCTAAGCTCGAAAGGTTTCAGTTTATACCTCGATACCAACCTAAAATAGATTGCTGTCTCTTCCAAATTCTGTCCATTTGTTCTTGCGACTTGTAGAGTACTTCATGAAGAGTCTGCATCTAACCTGTTTAATAATATAATAACAATAGGGTCAGGATTACAAGGGAAGCTAGCAACATGCCTTATATTGTCCTTTTTTCTGATTCTATTCTGATTCTCTTTTCTGATCTTACTAGCATTGGGGGATTCAGGAAATTAATTTCCAACAGGGTCTTGAGGCGCGAATTTTGCAAACGTTATTCTTTTACATACTTTGCTATTTTTATCAGTGAATGAGTGAGTGTGTGTAGATGCCAGGATGTGAACCCCCTGAGCTCTCCACGGCTTGGATATGTCAATGTGACACACCTGCATGCTGCAAGCCTTTACAATTCACATTTCAAACACAGATCGATTGACTGGCGAAACAACGCATCTCTTAAAGAAATTTTGATTATGATTATGATAAACTAATATTTAAATTAAAATTGGTATTCAAAAATTATTCGTCGAAGGTGAAGTGATTTATATCGGTGGAATATATTTACCAAGCCGCCGGTCTTCGAGCGACGAGGAGGTAAGTATATTCACCATAATCACTGAGCCTGAGGGGAGTAATTGTTCTAATATAATTATAGATTTGAATATTAGAAAAAAGTCGAAATTCAGGATAAAAAAACGTCTAGATATTACTTCCGATCTGGAAAACTTTGGAAAACCTCTCCAGCGGTGATTATCGTCTCAGAATCACTGGTCGCTCGACTAATCACAGCTCGAGAAACTCTATATTCAGGTCTGAAATTATAACAATAATTAATAAACAATTTGTTTCTTGACGTTGTATTAGAAGGAAACTACTCACCGAATCACCAATCCGATAGTGTGTAGTTAGAGTAATCGTGCTTTTTCGTCGACTACAACTATTCTTATCATCCTTTTTTTCTTCAGGAACACACCACATGTCTCTTTTGACCGGTTTTACGTGTTTTCCATACCATTCAACCAGGTAAGAGACGTTGTTCCACACAGGAAAGTCAAAACCGCAAATCATTTCCTGCCTGGTATATAGAGGTTGGTCTTTGCGATATGTGACAGTTGGAGATGGAAGGAGATTAACAGGAAAATCCGTCTTATTGGAAACTAAAAGGTATAAATAAAGCAGTCAAAACATAGTCAGAATCGATTATTATTCATAACGATGAACCAATCAAGCACAAATTCTTCGATTTGACCTTTCACGAATAATTTTAATATTAACCGCTCCTTTCGAGGGCTAACCCATCTGAGTCAAATTTGAACTTTACTCGAAAAAATCCACTTGGTGTGCAGCTATGGCAACTAGCATGAAATTCGAAAATTCTTAGAAAAATCAGATGAAATTAATATTAGCTCGGCTGTCTTGAATTACAACATTCAGCGAAATAGGGCTTACGACAAACCACGAAACGAAACGAAACGACACAATAAAATGCGAAACGACGATTTTAAAATGCGAAACCGTCATTTTGCATTTTACAGATGTCGTAAAATGCGAAACGACAGACTGTAAGCTGAGGCTTTGTAAGCTTAATCACGAAGTTGGATGAAAACTGTGTAGCTCCATGTCTTAGAAAATTAGAGATTACTTTAAATCTCAGTGGGAAGAACAGTGTAAACTTTCCATGTACCAAAAGCCACTAGTTTTTTTTTCTGAGAAAAGCATGCTTCAAAAACTATGCACAACATAAACATGTGGTTAAATCAAAATTGATACTCAAAGTGATATTCATGCTATAATAATGACATTTTTTACAACTGTTTCAGCACCAGACTGTTCTAACTCGACGGCAAAACATTAAGGAAAATGCTTCAAAGAATTTTAAACGCCACACTACCAAATGGCTGACCTCATTGAAAGAAGTTCAGAAGCAAAAAGTTTGGCGCTAATTTTTTTTCTCTGATGTCACATATAATGATTCGATTGGGGTCCCTGTGCATTCAAAATGGCGCCAAAACAACACGAGTTGAAGTATTTCAATATAGTTTATAAATTTGTGGCTTTTGGTACATGGAAAGTTTACACTGTTCTTCCCACTGAGATTTAAAGTGATCTCTAATTTTCTAAGACATGGAGCTACACAGTTTTCATCCAACTTCGTGAGTAAGCTTACAAAACATCAGGTTACAGTCTGTCGTTTCGCATTTTACGACATCYGTAAAATGCGAAATGACGGTTTCGCATTTTAAAGATCCGTAAAATGCGAAATCGTCGTTTCGCATTTTATTGTGTCGTTTCGTTTCGTTTCGTGGTTTATTGTAAGCCGCGAAATAGAGCATACGTAGACATTAATTTATGTCACATGACTTGAGGATGTGTAGACATTAATTTCTGTCACGTGACTTGAGATGCGTAGACATTAATTTGCGGTTGTAGTTTTGTGTTTTTATTTTCATTGCTGAGCATTGCCGATCGAAAATAGCCGCTGGAGACTACTTTGACTTTTTGCTCTCGCCCCAGTTTTTAAGCGGCCACAACGAACGATAACAACTGAAGCGACCAAACAAGCATAACCCGAAACCGCCTGTTATGCAGGCTATAATTTCTGTCCTGTGTGATCTGTCAGCTAGCTTCGCCCTCTCTTAATCACTTGGCAACATAGTGATATTGATTGACGGCTGGCACATGATAAAAGATCGGACTGTAGACGGGAACACTAACAGATGCCCGCAAAGGTTAAGTCTTGGGTAAGGTCGAGAACCTTGGGTACTATTACGCAATTCAGTGTTCATTTTGTCGGGGAGAAATCAGGAAAAAAAGAATAATGGTATTTTACGAATGGGCAACCACAGTAAGCCAATAAAAAAAAATAAAAAAAGATAACATCACAGGTATCCGTAAGTAAAAAAGCTTTTATAAGACTGGGCTATCACGGTATCCCAGTAAAAAAAACAAAAGTATTTTACGACAGGGCTACCACAGCTATACACATTATAGTAGTCCCTAATTCCATTGTTTTCCTTTATATCTGCTTGACTAGAATAAAAACCCGCGAGTAAGAACCTGAAAATTAAGAACCTGTTAGCCTCAAATTGTCATTTACACCCCCTTTAAACAAGAACCTATTTAGCCTAGAAAATGAAAAACAGGTTCTTATTTTTTTAAATCTTCATTTAGTGATGCAGAGCTGGGTAAGAATCCTGTTTGGAAAAACAGGAGCTTGCTATTGCTGGGCAGATAATTACAGGTGTAATGTAATAAAAATGTAAAGTGAAGGAAGGTTGATATTAATTGTATTGCATTATGAAAAAACCTGTACAGCAATAAGTCAGCATGTGAAATATAATGTACGGTAATCTACAGTGTGAGTACGAGTACATTTATTCGTTTTTACACAGAAATAAGAACCTATTTAAGAACCTAGATAGCCTAAAATTGTGTTAACTACCATTTAAACAAGAACCTGTTTAGGCTAACTCTAAAAAATGTAGGTTCTTTATATTCGCGGGTTTTTACTGTATTACACGTTGAAAACAGGACGCTAATTTGCATGTGGCATGCGCTTAATCCGCTGAACCGTATTACGTGGCCACATAAAATGTGCCATAAAAAGTGCTAAATTCAAGCTAAAAAAAGCGCAAAGTTCTTCGAAAACTCATAAACAACTATAAATAGATAGCTGAAGGTTTTTATTAAATTATTCATTTATTATCAGAATTTCAAATTCTGAGCTTTTATTATTGGGCTTCCTGTGTTGTAAATATTACATTTTTCTTCACCAAAATACAAAGTTAAGGTGGCTCGATACAATGATTTTGAAGCACGACTCCTCTACTTGTATTGCAAACTGCGCGGAACCAGATATACCTTATGAGTTTATACTAAGTGTAGGGATAGATGGAAGTTTTAAATCGTGTGTATTTCGTGACCATCGGACACGCCCTGAAGGCACAGTGACGTCATGTGATTATTTTTTAAATTTATTTTTTGGCGTAATCTAACCAGACGCGGAGAAACGGAGTTCACTATCTGAAACATACTGTGGTAGTCTTCAAGGTCAGAAAGTTTCAGAGATTTTCATTGTTCAGTTTTAAAATTATTCGAGTTTTAATATTTTTGGATCGTGAACCTATGAAATATCAACGGAGTCCCGTGATATCCACAAAATGCATTAATTTCGGTCTCTGACAAACTATTTTTACGATATTTTTGCTTATCAATATAGTAACCAGTGATGTTGAGAAATCGAGATCAATCGGATGGCCTGATCGTAATTAAATACAAAATTATAAAAGTAAGCATTTTTCGCTTTTATTACATATCATATTGTGTCTATTCAACAAAGAAAGAAAGAAAGGAAGGAAGGAAGGAAGGAAGGAAGGAAGGAAGGAAGAGAGAGAGAGAGAGAGAGAGAGAGAGAGAGAGAGAGAGAGAGAGAGAGAAGTTTAATTGCATGCTAAAGAACTGACTCTATATTCGTTTACTTGTTTCAAAAATTAGTTTTTTTCAGTTACATACTTTTACAATCTGGATAGATACCTTCTTGTCCTTTAGGACATGGAGTCCTATCACCTGCATAAAATGTAGTATCAAAAAACTTACTTATATTGAAATGAGACGATGTTTCATAACTGCGATCAGTAAAATACTCTCATCCATTTACATGCATCATAATAAGTTTGTACTTTATCTCCACAGCCATTTCATGACAAACATTTCAATCTGCATCATAGTTGCAGAAGGGGTTCTAAAATAGCTACAAAAATATAAGTAAAAATTCAAAAAAGGTATGTTAAATCAGTCTTCTAGCTACCTGCACAATATGCCATGGAACATCCTCTAGGAGGAGTGAGCCGATATACGTAGAAATTTCCCTTGCAATACTTAACTGACAAAGGAAGTGTTTTCGCACATCCTTTATTTATGTTGAACAGGTTAATACAAGCCTCAGTTTCAACAACTTCTCCTATAGTTGTGGGCGGAGTTCTTCTCATCCATATCGGGGCCAAAGTTCCACAATGTAAAGGTTTAGGTTTGGTCGTAGGTATCTGCAATCCACCCTTAAATTTGTACCAGTCCCTATCCAGTTTGTAGTCACAAATGGCCTTGTCTCCTCTCTTCAGCTTATGTTTGGTACTTCGAAAGGGATCGTGAATTTCGATGGCTGTTTCACAGGGATCATAACAATTTACCCCAGTTTCTAATAACTCCAAGACCGAAATTATCAGCAAAATATAAAACGTGCCCATGTATGAATCGGCCTCAGAGCTGAACAAATTAAAGAGGTTCACCTTTACTCTCCGAAAGCTCAAAATTACTGAATTTAATGCGTACCCTTCCAAGGTGTATTTATGCCAGAGTCTGAAGGAATGAGGACAAAGGTCTTTTAAAATTTTCTCAAATTTCGTTTATCTTGCTATAATAAGTGACCTATTTCCTGTCGATGCCAATTCTTTTAACGTTGGGGGTCGGCATTACGTTTCACGCATCAATTTTTCCAAAATTCACGCGTCAAGTATAATTTTGAGGCACATTACAGTATCAAGAATGTTAACTTTTAACAAAAGAGAATTAATCATTCACGAATCACGCACATTTCAATTCAAGAGAATAAAAAAATCACGAGTCACAGTTAACTTGGAATTAATTCGCTAATCACGCTCTATATTTTGATGCTTTCAAGTACCACGCACTTAATATAGCCCGAATCCATGCATCACGCGTTACCCCTGTGCCGCCCTGCTCCTACAGGTTTCAGGTATCTGTACTATAAAGTATAGTGATTAGTGCAATTCCCTTCCTTCGGTCTATGAAACTAACGCCGTCTTAAGGGTAGATCGTTGTAATCTAAAAAAAAGTTTTAAAAAGCTGTTCAACAAGGTCCGGAAACGATCCGGGTTATAATGACGTTATGAAAGTAAGAAGGAAATGAAAAACATAGGAAGGGCTTATTATATGTTTGCATTTATTTAATAGCCACAGTGACTAAGGTCAAACGTCTTCCTGTTATGCATGCACTAGCCTGTAATACAACAATCAGATCAAATGTCGTATTTATTCTGGTAATACTGAACTAAGGACCAAAAATAATATTGCATTTATTGGTTTCACATTTATGAAATTAAAAGTGCTCTATTGGTGGTGGTAAGGGGAGGAGGATGATGTTATCAAGTCCAACCTCGACTTGGACACATTGTTCCGTGGTCACTAAAGCGAATTCGAGAAACTGTCTATTACTCTTGTGTTTTTATTTCAAGCCAGGGTGCTTATTTCCGAATTCCTGACTTTCACATCCAGAATAAAACTTTAACGGTTATCTTGCTTATTAAAAATCTTGCATTCTTTACATCACTGCCCTGGCTGGTCATCACCTGACTGACAGTAGTCAAGGTCAGTGGTTAAAGAAAGCCAAGTTTAACGCCATCCAGAAGCACACTAAATGCCAATTCAATATGTGAGTTATCTGTTTCATGAATTAAATCAATAGTCCAGAGGTTGCTTTGGGTATTTCTAAAATTTAAAATTGATGATGTGCAAAACCGAGAGCAATAAACAACCGCTTAGCAGCCCCCTAGGTCTTTCTCAAAACTGAGAAATAGTTAAACCAAGTATGAACAAGTATTCACTAACTATTTACTTGGACTCAGTAGGATGGGTAGTGTTGTCTGCCGTAGAATTCCTTTATAATTTTCATCTGAATATGACTTAGTTTATCTCCTTTTCAAAAAAGAGTCAAAGGGCTGTATATTCTTACGCATTCACTATCTCATATCCTTCCCTTTCAACTCAGTCCTCACAATATATGCGGCTCAAAACATACCAGGCACTTGCATTTTAAATTATTCACCTGACTTGGCAGGAGTACGAATAACTATGATACGACAAAATACCTCTAAACTTCAGAGAGTAGATTGTACGAAAATTCATGAAATCCTAACAAGTTTACTCTTGCTCTTTGCCTGCCATGGCCGAGATCTGACAGGTCATGTGAACCCTTGCGGTAGGTCCATCGGCACTCAATTAAAAAAAACATTGAATATAGTTTAGTTAATCTCGGTTTTATCTTGCGATGGTGTCATATGATGCCTTGACGCATGGCATCCGATTAGACATGCGTCGTTTGGCTAATTTTTCCCTAACTGGAAATCAATTGAAAAAATTGTCTGTTCCCATTCTTACCTTATCTAAGACCCGAAAACGATGGACAGTGTACTCCCGGGAGTGTACTGTATTTCCCAAGACGATTAACTTGATTGCTTTTCCAGTCAATCCCATTTTGAAAAAGGTACATGCTTCGAGAAACTATTTTGTACTAGAAAAATTGTTATTTCGTGATCGAGTATATAATGTGCCAATACGGAATCGTACCCGGGTTTTGTTTACAATCCGCCACCAATCAATCAAAATTTTGAGACATCAGATGCCTCTCATTTTCGTCGAGTTTTGCAAAATGAATCTTCGTTGTCTGACAGTCTTCTTTTATTTGAACTTCGTTTTTCATAGAGCAAAAACAAAACTTTTCTTGTTGTTCGGTTTCATTTTCTTTTGGTGGTAGGGCCTTGAAGAAACTTTTGTCTTCAGAAATTCTAGAAAAGCAATAAAAAAGGAAACTGAATTCAAGATTCCTTAATCAAATCTAGTAAAGTTTGCATGTTTTCGTACATTTTTTGCATTATTGCACTATTATCAGTTGGTCTACTTTGTGGGCGCAAAGTTTTCATTCACTCTCGGCTATTTAGTTTTCTTAATGTTGAAAACGTAAACAGTTTGAAACAAAGCCGTTGGACGTATTCAATAATTCAAGGTACCTCCAACTCTCCATGAAGTTTTCTTCAGTTTGTACCACTCTTCCATCGCTTCCTTGCCGAAAATCGTCTGTTGGATCATTATTATAGTTGCCACAAAGACCTGACAAGGCTAATCTATCATTCTACAATAATACGTGGATATTTTTGACAAAACGACAAAGAAAAACATCGATTATTTATCGCTATGAATCAATGCAAAACGCCCAGAACACCCAGACAGAACAACCCAGGGTATTGATAACCTGTAAATAATAGGATATGATTTCTTGATGAGT